TCGTAAACGTTCCGTGCCAATGGATCCATTGTTCTGAAGCAGAAGAGGATTGGGGATCGGCGTCAAACCGATCTTGGCGAAACAATCGTTCCATTGTATTTTGATTGAATGATTGTGCCAGAAACAGAGAACGAGGATTGCCGAATGATTGGCTTTACTCTTCTATCAATTTCAGTACATCAGCTAAGACATTAGGAAACACAATTAGCTCAACGAATAGCGAGTAAAAATGTTAAACACAACGTCAGTACATAACATCTTTTACTAGTGGCGGATGGTATAAACCATCTCAAGTCAACACTCGGTCGTTGGCAGTGGTGTCAGGTATTTGGGTTTTTACGTTTCACATAAGTGAGGGAGTGGATGGTCATCGCTTTTTCACCTGCAGTTGAAAAACATACAGTGGACAGATTGGAGCGCACGTGGTACTCTCACGCGATGCAATGATTCATGACGTTTTTGGTTGGTGGAAATCGAAGTCGACGTAGTCTTATAACAGGGCATCGGCAGCTACTTCATTGTTTCAGGGTCTTGGCGGAATAAAAGATTATATCATTTTTCACATAGCACCCACGTATTTTCCTGAGCCTATTTGCTCAGGCTCATGGTTGTGCTTTGGCTTACATGCCACAGTGGTTACGCTTAACCTCCAATGTCTACAATAACTGTATCTTTACCATCTTCCACAGGTCAACATGAAGTTCAGACTGTACCTACCTTTATGGGCATTGTTATTCATTCTATATACACCCGCTTGGACGATGGGAAACCCAAAAGTTTACGGTATTCTCCCTGATACAGTTTTGTCCGTTTCGGACAGCATTGTGCTGCTTCAGTCAAATCAACCAATCCTCGTTACCTTATTTGGTACAGACTTGGATCAAATTTCTCACATTGCATTTGCCTCGGTTAAAAAGCCACCTGATAGTCCGTGTGATATTGAACGTTCGACGGAGACATTTCGACTGTCTCCAAAAAGTCCATATGTTGCAACCACTGTGATTAAACTCCGTGAGTTGGGAATGAATGACGATGGATTCTTTTTATGTGTACGAATAATACCTACACAGACACCTGGACTATCATTGTCTGCAAACGCATCATCCGAATCCTGGTTTTATGCCGGAGTTGAAGGTTTCGACAATCATCTTATATTTCGAACTTCCAAATCCCTAATGCCCATATGGGTTCAGATTATTCTCATAATTGTGCTGTTCTTCCTTTCCGGACTATTTAGTGGTCTCAATCTTGGCCTTATGTCCCTGGACAAGACAGAGTTAAAAATCATCGAGAGCGCCGGATCACCAAACGAAAAAATCTATGCGAAAGCTATTCGCCCAGTACGCGAGAAAGGCAATCTACTTCTTTGTACACTCCTTCTTGGGAATGTGCTTGTCAATACCTCTTTGACCATTCTCATGGATGATTTGACTGGGAGTGGCCTATTTGCAGTCATTGGATCTACCACAGGAATAACTCTGTTTGGTGAAATTATGCCACAGGCCGTATGTTCCCGCCACGGTTTGGCAGTTGGTGCTCGGACGTTGTGGCTAACCAAGCTGTTTATGCTTATCACATTCCCTGTAGCGTTTCCAATCAGTTTCTTACTGGATAAAATATTAGGTGAAGAAATGGGACAGGTTTACAGTCGCGAAAAGTTGGGAGTTCTCATCCGTGAACAGGTAAGTTACTGTGCTTTATCCTCTACAGTATTTACTGTCTTTGTACGGTTAATTATGCATAAAGCATCCAATGATTTCCTTAGAGGGCTACTATTTTTGGTTCATAGTGAAAACATAGATTGTACAGTAAGCGTACTGACAGAAACAGTCCTAGGTTGTTAAGGAGCGAAATATCAGGATTTCACAGACACCACGTCAGAATTCACCTAAAGAATAACCCAACTATCCATTTTTTCGACCACTGGTTTGTGCAACATTTTGCTCTACCGGTGGACACACGTTTCGTAGAGGTCAATATAACGTTGACCTGTTTTGATTTCACTGAACTTTAACGTTGAAGTCGGCGTTAATATCTTGATCCCACTTTTTGTTTGGAGAGACCACTCTCCGTTACGTAGCCTGTGAGTTATATACAACTTACGAACCATGGGCAGACGTTTATACCTGAACATAGTGACAACACTTGGTGGCAGTGAACGACCCTTGGGGAACACAACCGTGATCCTTTTCTAGGGGGTGATTTTTGTCATGCGACGACAGAACACGGTTCCTTACGAACTGGGCCTTTCTGTGCGCCGATTTTTTCGTTTTTTTCCCCCGTGATTATTTATAGTATGGGAAGTAATCAATCCCTTCACGTATCACCTGAGTATGTCGGTCTCTTCCAACGAGTTCTCAAAGGACTATAATCCGTTGACAGAGAACAATCTTTATAGGGGTGTGCAGACTAAAATTGTTGGTGGTTAGTGTTGAAAGTGATTCACCTCTATTGACAATAGTCTTACTGCCGAAAGCCGATGTATTAAGAACTTTTCGCATCGGTCAAAATCTTTTTGGATACCTCACTCAATAGATATTCACTCTTACTTTTTTCCTCGATTGAAGTTTCGCCTGCAAACCTGTATTCCTCTTCAGAAAATCGCGATAAGGTAGTACTTGATTATTCTGTTGTTCGTTGAGAAACAGAATAACATATAACGGAGTGTCTTGCTGCAAGTAGTTTCGACCCCTTAGCACTCGGTAGTAGCTAATGTATCAGCCGGTGCATACGGTTGATGCGTACGTCTCTGTGGTAACATTTCGGTTTAAAAGCCAATGGTGATCATGTTATTTACACCAGAGCATTTCAATAGCTGCTTTTCGAATAGCCTTCGACGACGGCTAACAACTTGCATTTATTTGGGAAATCGCCTCCTCGTACTAGGGATAAACATTGATCACCAGTTTCTCGATGAGCTATTCTTAATCCCACTGAGAGCAGTTGGTTTTTCGTGGTATTCTCATTGCAGATGTTGGGCTACTAAGCACAGTGACTCACCAGAAGAGAGCTATACTCCACTGGGTCGTGCAACCGAATTTTCATTAAGGTTTCTAGCATGCTGAGGACGCTTTTTGGAGTTCACGTCTGCTGTATTTAGTTCGGGTATTATCTGGGGTAACTGCCCTCATAAAGCGATGCGGCGTCATGAAGCATAAAATACTGCGTCTTTGAAACATTCTTCCTCAATGAGGGCTGTGCATGGTGGATCAAGGGTGGTGGAGACATTTTTAAAGTGTGGTCTACGGGGACAGTAGGCAATCCTTTAAGATTCATCCTCTAAAGGGAGATCATCCTCCGAAGTTCTCAGTAGCCTTCCTCGTCAACGACAACCTAATGCTAAATTCGTCGAAAAATGCCACCTCAGGAGGAGCCGAATACCTTTCACAGTATGGGCTCGCCTAGTGTCAGGTTCACTTTTTCTGGTGGCACTCCGGCTATATGTCGCATCTGATGAAATAATGATGATCGCCCAGCTGGTGCACGTTGGCTGAGATATTTCGAAGCTGCCCAAACTAAGAGTAGTTGAGGTTGTGGGGTTAGTTTCGAACGACATACTTCTTGGTCAATAAGTTCGCATCTTAACCACTGAGCTATCTCGCATCCGATGCCGCGAGTACAATAATAATAATAATAGTAATGACAATGGTTCAGTTGTGGCACCCTTTTAGTGCAAATCGGCCATGCATTTTAAAAGAGAAACGAGGGCTGACGTACTGGCATGTCGTTCAGTCCGAGATAAGCTGAACCAAAGCCATAGTTGGATTCGAACAGCGATCCATCCGGGCAATCGTCTTGCGCCTCATCCGCTGAGCTATCTCGACTGGTTTTTTCATTGGTGAATCGTCTCAGGAAATTAAGATCAGCAACAATTTCGGGAAGCTTGAGTACAAATGTGGTTGTAACTATGTCCATTCTCATTTGAGTTCGACCCACAATACGCTGGTTTCATCATCGAATCGAATCTATGTTATACCCAGTGGGATATACCAGTCTTCGCCTGTAATCAGTTTTTGGATGATCTCGATTTTAACTCCACCACAACAATAACTGGATGACATCAATTTTCAAAACAAGTCTATCTGTTAATAGCAACTTCAAGGACATCCACTGCAGTTCCGTTCGGTTTAATCTAAATTCCGTCGTTTTCATTTATATTCGCCCAAATAGCCATAATTTGTACCGATTCGAGTCCTTATTTAGTATGCTAAACTGTTGTGCTACTACTACTGCGCCAAACAAACGCACAGGAAGGCCGTGTCACCTGCACATTTGAGTTTCCATGCAAGGTTAATGCAAAAAGGCTTTTGACTTGTGTCTAGTAATAACTGTTACTATTGATATTCATTCCTTTTGGCCTTATTCCTCTTCACGTCATCACCATAATCATTGACAGCAACACCGGAGGACAACACTGATGCTTCAATTTCGCACAATCGTGTCAATTCACTTGGATAAAGCCTTGTAATGGAAAGAAGGAAAAATGGGACATGGATTGGGATCATTAGCGCGCCTAACGCAACCACACCTCCAACACTCAGATATCTTGGATGGAAACCGTTAGCATGGCCTTTGGTTAACCAGCATATCTTTCAGTCAAACACAGAGAGGGTAACTTGAATCCTATCTTAGAGGGCGCACATCAACAACAGAGCCCACACTTCCGTTCCTTTTAGTAACGTCGAATTCCGTCCACCTCTAGAGCTCTGGCACTATGTATTGAACATTTTCAGTGGGCGTAGGTCCGCATGCGTAACACTTGGCCGAACCTCCGTAGCTTGCAGTGATGAATGCATTTTTGAGTGGCCCTTTTCCTGAACAACTCATTACGAGTTCGCTGGTTCTAACCGATTCCAGCGGTTCTAGGAAAACTGCGGTCAACCTCTTGAGGATGTCTTATATCTTCCACCTGAAGTGGCTTAGTTTCGCAGCCATACAACATGACAGCCCGTATTTTGGTGTGCTACAAGCTTCCTTTGAGCGCCAACGATACGCCTTTTTGAAACCACAAGCAGCGCAAATTGGTGAGCGCAATTGTGTTTGATATTCGTTTGTTAACTTCACCTACCTAGTGCTAATTCGGAGATACTCAGAGTCGCCCCTTGGTACCTACTTGATCACTCTTTGAGTTGTTAGGTGCATTTTCAATGACTCCTCACTTTGCGTGTGAAGTACAGGCCGAAGGACATGATGAATTTCTTCAGCTGTTTTGGCACTGCTTGCGCCATCTTCACTTCTTCAAAAAGGAGGACAATGTCGTCCGTATATTACTTGTTGATAAGGTTCTCGCCAGGGTTTCGGAGACCTTCCAGATTTCTCATCTTCACCTAATCAATGACGAAGTCAACCAAAAATGGGGAAAAGAGCCTCTACAACAGACTCCTGGACGCTTGGGAACCTGAAGAAGCGGAGCAAATGAACCGATCCCAATCTTATCCACTCTTCATACCATAATGCCTCCAGTAGCCATGATTTTGATAATCTAGTTAAGTGAAATGAACGGCTGTGAAATCTTTTGGGGGATCAGCATGTTTAGTCGCTGTATCATACGGTACGGTTTTAGCATGTTTTTTAAACCTGTGAACCTGGACAACCCTGTGCACACAATCGACCGGTTAGATGTTTATCCACTTTCTAAATCGCATTTCGTGCAGTTTTCAGCGTCCTGTCATCGTAGATAGGCAGTGCGTATCCTTTTTTGATGGAACACACTATTCGTGAGGTCGTTGGAAACTTTGAAAACTTAAAGTTGGTTTCATTTTAATGCTTATCGGGTGCTTTGGATCTCCGGGTTACTGTCAACCTTATGTTTCTCTTGAGCACTAAATTGTACGCATTTGGTGAAGTACACTCGTTTGCAAAATAGGTCTATGTTAATGGGAGATTCAACTGGATCTTTGCTCAATTCCTCGCTTTTGATGCCAAGTCTGCTCGCTAATAAGTGTGTTTTACCAGTTGCATACAATTTGGTGTTGATGTGTCGACGGAAATTTGAAGACTGCATACTTGACGAGCCCTAAGTAGGGGCTCATGGATTGTCGAAGGAATTTCATCAACCTTGTGGGGAGATGGTGTTGCAAGAGTTGAGTAGTTCCAGGACGGGATTAGAAAGGAGACAGAATAGGAAGACGTAATGTACGCTTTAATCGTCTAATAACTGTAGAACATGACGTGAAAATAGAGTGAGAATCATGAGTTAATAGGTTATGCAAAGATATGGGTTATATAGTCATGACATTCTCCCCGCCTTGGAATAAGTGTGTACTTTGCGGAGAAAGAATGTAAAAAAAATAAAAGGCTGTAATAGTTACGTGGAGTCGTTTACGCCTCTTTGTTGCGTAGATTATATGGGTGAGTGCGCTGTTGTCGGATAAGAATGTCCAAGTGATTTCCTGGATCTGCACTAGAATGGGATGGCGAGGCATCGTCAATAGGCAAGAGTTCAGTTTCTGAGCAATCACGGTGGATTGTTGGTGTTGTGTGAGGCTCCCCTTGTTCGGCGATATGTATTGGTTCCTGTTCTGTGTCGGATGTCATGTCGTTGCCTTTGGGAGCCAAGCGGCGCAAGGATACGGTTTCGTGTTTGCCATCTGGACGAACTATGTGGGCGTACTGTGGATTACAAGAGACGAGTTCCACTTCCTCTACCAGAGGGTCATATTTAGAGACTCGATCATTGCGT